TTATATAGTCTTAAAGTTACAACTGGCCCTTTGAGTGCAACCATAATGCTGATGTGGCCCGTGATGAAATTGAGTTTGACACCCCTGATTTAAATAGAACCTGGAATGGTGCGTAATGCATTAATATCCCTGCTCTTAATTTGGCCAGAATATAACGTATTTGTATCTAATGGTTCCGTTTAAATAAACTCTCATTACAGTTAAAGCTCAGAAAGGCATACCTGAGCTCAAAGGGCTCAGGAAGAAAGTCCCTAAATCAGACTCCACCTGCAGCGTCTCTCCTCTCCTCTCCTCTCACTCAGAATTTGGTGCAACTGTGGTTTTGCGGTGTCACAGTAGGTGTCAGATCCCGCTGAAGTATATGAAGTGTGTTATCTACCAGTATGACATACGTTTAGAGTTGTATTCGGCATATTTGTTTTGGACATTCCCTTGTCTGCTCCCCTTCATTTGAGGCTCAGCTTTAATTGGGTGTAGCCTCTCACAAGTAGCTGTCTTGTCAATATTTGTATTATTATTATTATTATTATCTATAATGTTTGATAAATAACGTGCAATTACGTAACTACCACTACGGTTTTTTTGCACTACTAAATACTAAATAATGTTCATTTAATTATGTGACCATCTATATTTCCTGTAGTTATTGAATTGCTTTTTTTCCGCACTGTTAGTGTACAGTTTTATTATTATTGTGCTGCTGTGTTTATTGTATTTCTGTAACTCTGGCACAACAATTTCCTTCAGGATAAATAAAGTCCTATCTTATCTTATTGCAAAGTTCATTATTAGTTCATCCTCATGACCACAAGCAGATTATTGAATGTTTCACTCTCCGCTTTGTAGTTTGATCAAACCCTTGACTTGTCCACACAGTGTTTACAGATCTGATTAAAACAGACACATCACCATGAACAATCTTTCATCTTGTCTATTTTTTTTATTATATTGTGTCCTCCGGTTTCATTGACCGCAATCTGGGAAAATCTATAGCTCCAATTTCACAATAATTTGTCTTTGTTGTGTCAATAATACTTGCTAATGACTTGTCTCAGTAATAACCTAAAGCTCACGTTGCACTCTGACCTACACATGATATGGAAAAACTCTAGACATGAGCTATATCTGTTGAACTTCATAAACAACTTGATTAATATTGATGTGAAATCCATAGTAGGGTCCTGAATTAGTGCCTACAAAACACAGGTGCAACATGTATTTTTAAATTCTATACTTCAATTTGCCTTGTTATAAGTGATACCTCTATGTTCCGTCCATACCTGTGTGAGAAAACATGATTCACACAGCTGTTATCTCTAAAGTATTCAATTTCCTGGCAATCAGAGCAATCTGGCTTTCATATTTTCATGAACAGTGATTTTGTGTTGACAGACAATTTGGTGGTGTAGTTTTTTTATTAAGACATACGTAGGGGCAACCCCTCTGTGGCCCCTTCACTGTGTCCCCCTTTACTCTCTGACATCAGCAGACTGCAAAACTTTTAAACCAAAAAAACAACCTTTAAAGTTCAAGCTTTGTCTCCCTCTGCTGGAGATCAGGTGGAACTACACATATACCCAGGTGGGGATGTGCCGGTGCTGTGAATATGACATTGGCTGTGTCATGAAAGCATGTGACGTTCCCACCACGCTTATCACTCAGGGCTCTCATGTGACCGCACTGTAGACACAAGCTTTTCAGTGAAGTATCTTAAACCATGTTATTTCTCTCAGATTGTGCCATTAAGTAGCCATCTTAATTGTCCCACAGTAAGTAAGGCACAAAGATTATTTTTGTATTTACTACAGATTCCATATCGGCAGCCCCAGACGTAGAAAGAATGTTTTTGAAGATCAGTGCAGCTTCATCTTCCTCTTATTCTGCTCAGTTGTTTGTTGATGTCTCGCTGTCTGATTTTCACATTTCCTTAAACCTGAGACAACTGTGACGTTTCACACACAAACTGCATTAAGCACCTCATCATAATGATTTTCTCCACTGACAAAAACTGTCCATATCTCAATGGCTATACTTATTATTATTTGCACTTATGATGTCAGGTGCAGGTGGCTGAGTTGGACCAAGCTGCTTTATCTTAAGCGGCCACTAGAGGGCAGCAACACACATTTTTTTGGTTGAGGGCTAGGATTATTATTAATAGTGATTAACATAAGATTAATTAGTAGCGGCTCATGGACAGATTTTTGTATAAAGACTACATTTATCCCAGGGATGTCTATTTATTTCCCAGGAGGGGATGCAACGGATGAAAAGTGGTTTGAATATCCATCCTGAAGTTCTCTTATATCCCAAAAGTAAGTTATATACCACAGAAATGACCAGAAATATAGGATATACGTTGATACTGACATTTTTCCTATTTTCTTTTTAACTACAGTAGAAGTTCTTTGTGTACTTCATTAATGTGTATGTATGTATGTTGACTACAACAGTACTTATACGAATTAAGTTAATGACGTGGTATTAGGGCTGTGCAATTAATCGTATTTTAATTGCAATTACAATTTTGGCCTGCCACAATTACGAAAACATCATAATCGAAAAAAACGATTATTTTGCTTTGCTTGGTTGTGACTGCACTGCAACATATTTGGTCTAATTTATTTTATTCTAATTTATTTGTATTTATCATATTTACATATGTTTAGTAGCTTGTTGAAGTGCGCTCCAAAATATTTGTTGATCTTGTTTATTGGTATTTATTATTTTGATATTATTTATTTAAATGTATCATTTATTTTATTTATTTTTGTATTGGTTTTTCAGTTTAATTATACGTTCAGGGTAATCAACAGTTTAAAAGATACTGTTCAAATTATTATTTGTATTTGTTTTAAAGTTCAATAAATAGATGTTTTCAAAGTCAATGAATAATTGTATTTAATAATCGTGATATCAATTATTGACCAAAATAATCGTGATTATGATTTTTGCCATAATCGCACAGCCCTACGTGGTATGATTTTTTTTTTACATGCAGAACCACATACTGTACATATGCAGTGTTCCCTGCGCTGTAAGGTCCTCTGGGAAAAACCCCATAGCCATTAGCATGAATGTTTATTTAAGGAAGGCTAGAGCTCATCTGAAATGCACACAGGGATGGCGTGCCTCACACTGACTCTGCTGCTATCATTGGTTTAATTGTCCTGCTGCCACCAATATGGCAAGCAGCCAAATTAGCATTGTGTGAAACTATTACTCTGACCTTTTAAAATATTCAATTCAGCTTTATATTTAGAGCCAGCAAGCGGCATGCTGGTCTCTAAGCACTCTACAGCTCGTAAACATACAGAGCTCTCATGCTTAGTGCGTGTTTTCAAAAGCATTTTACGTGCTTTTCACGAGGATCAGCACGACTATGGGTTGTGGGCGTGGAGTTGGGAAAAAAAGTACAGTTTTGATGTAGTCGGAAAATAATCTGGTTGGTGCCTTTTTATGTCATTTTATTTGTATTGCATTGTGATACATAAGAGTGTAATTATGCCCACCAACATCCAGTTTGCGATAGTTTACAGATGTTGAAGATGTTTTGCAAAGTTAATTTGGGTAACATTTCCAGTCTGTAAAGCTCTGGTTCTACTACTTTGATTGTTTTTGTATGCAGACTGTCAGTAGCATGCCACTATTTTATTGATTAGTTTATCATTGATGTATTAACACTAGGGATGCTCCGATCGATATCGGCCGATACTCACTCTGTGCCGATCGATCGGTGCTCTCTAAAAATGGCAATCGCGAGAGCCGATCGCATGACGTAAAAATGATGACGTAAAATACATGACACTTTTCTCTGTGTGCGGCAAAACAAGCTCGCCAAAATGGCTTCACCGGTCTGGCAGTATTTAAAGGTGTCCGAAAAAGACAATAACATAGCGGTATGCAACGTGTGTGAAGCAGAAATCCTGCAGCTCCACCCGCTGTGACGGACCGGTGAGCGGAGCAACACACACACTAAGAGTTAGACCTAACACACTTAGCTATTTGATCTACCTCTGGAACAAGCTAAACTAGTTATGAATATGTTTATTCTTCACTGTCGGGTCACTCAGTACTGGATCAGTGAGCTGCATGAGATACTGACAGGCTGTCAGGAGAGAGAGAGAGGGGAGAGAGAGAGAGAGAGAGAGGGGGAGAGGGGGAGAGAGGACAAGAGAGCGCTTCCGCTCATTTCTCCCGTGTTATTCTCCAAAGTTAATGTAAACTTGAATAATGTACTTAATTTGAATGTAATAATGATGTTGGTTGTTGTTTGTGGAAGCGCCAGTGAATGAGCCCCATTAACTGAGTTTTAAACATCACTTTAAATGGAAGATCCCCATAGGCCCCGCCCACTCGATCGGATCGGCGATCGGTATCGGCCGATACTGATTCCGCCGATCGGCGCCAAAATTGGCGATCGGAGCATCCCTACTTAACACGCGCATACTTTATTGTTAATTGCTGATTTTACTTTCGGTAGTTTAATCTCTAACAATTGATCACATAATTTAAACTGATCATTGTTCTGAATTTAAAACATAACAAAAATGAAACTGGTAACTATAGTTATTTTAATTAGTTATTTGTTAAAATAATACTCTCTTTAAAAAACAGCGAAGTATAACGTAGCATACAATTGACCTCAAAATTGTACTTGAGTAAATGTACTTAGTTACTGCTGTTTAGAGGATTAACACATGTCTATAAGCATTTCCATTGCTTTTTACAATCTTACAATATGGTTTCAAATATTGGCAAATGTAACCGTTGCTTTTTCCTCTTGTCCTTAAGTGTTTGATTGTCAGTGTGTAGCAGGTAGATTGTGTTTCACAGAGAGAGTAAACATGAGACATGACAAGCCTGTGTCATTTTTTTCATTCATGTATTTTATATTTAATCAAAGAAAGCTCATGTGCAGACGTAAACATTATATATTTGTAAGTAGTGTAATGTGATGACTATGTGTGTTCCCTGCCTCATGTGTTGTGTTGTTGCAGATTTCCGGAGGTTGCTGGCAGTGACCCTGTGGTGCAGGAGGCCCCTCTCGGCGCCATGGTGAAGGTCCAGAGGTCGACGAGGAGGAAGAGCTCCCACTGTCTCCGCAGACTGGAGGTACTGAAAACAACAACAACAACAATGCCTCGATGTGACTCTCCAGTCCCACCCCCACATTGTCAGATTGACACTTCATTTATTTAAAGGTCACCTATTATGTCAAATCCACTTCTTCATGTCTCTTCTACATCAACATGTGTCCCCTCTGTGGAAAGAGATTCTGAAAGTTTCAGGAAAAAAGATTCTCTCTCTTTTTGTCCTGATCCATTTCTATAAAAACCTGTCTGAAAATGAGCTGATCAGATTTTGGCCACTTTATGATGTCATAACGATGTTTTGGCTTGTGTAACCATTAGCCAATCAGCAACCAAGGTAACCCCTAGCAATTTGGGGTGAAGTGTCTTGCCCAGGGACACAACGACATGCTGACTGCAGTGGGACTTGAACTTGCTATCCCCTGATTCGAAGTCCAGCACACTGTCCACTGAGCCACAACCTCCTCTTTCACACCAACGCGGTTCCCGTTCTAGCTCCGTGCTAGAGCTTTTCTGGTTCGGAACCGTTTTGTTCACACCGCCCAGAGCCCGACTGGTGCTGCCGCGGCTGCGTCATGACGTCACCGTTTAGGTCGCTGATTTTCTCCCCAACGGCGTCGGGTCGATGATCGTGTTGCTTTTAATCGTACGAAGCCAGATTAAATTAAATAACTACTTCTCAACCCTTGTACTTTTCTCCAGAGTGCCGTGGTTCATTGTTTATTAATGTGTTTTCAGCGGCATTTACCGACCGCTGCAGTGCTGCCTGCTGTTTGGCATCACAACTAGGGATGTCCCGATCACCTTTTTTTGCTCCCGATCCGATTCCGATCATTTGATTTTGACAATCTGCCGATACCGATTTTTCCCGATCCGATCTTTATGCAATGCATTAAGAGGAAAAAAAAGGTAACAGATAACGGCTGGTCATCCAACGCGATGAATTCAGCTATCTTGGCTGTTATTTTTTTGGCTTTTCACTGTTCTGGGGCAGTTTCTCTTTCCTTTTAAAAGTCTCTGAAAGTGTCGGTTGTTTCAGTGCCGTTACCTGTGGCCGCTGTGTACTCGTTGTGTTGTTGTTGGTGGTGTTTGTATTAGATTGGTCGTGTTGAACGTAGCTCTGTTCTTTCCACCACGCGGAACCTCCGCCTTGCAAACATTGCATCTGGCTGTTACACTGCCTTCGCTTTCAATTTTATAATACTTCCAAACTCCTGACATTTTCTCTGTCCCGACTCCCGAGTCACCAGCTGCTGAACGTAGCCTCTTGTTAGCTTACTGCTACTATTAGACACTGCGCCCACTATGTTGCCAGATTTGAGAGAAATAAGCAACCAGGTCGATGAAAACAAGCCCAAAAGAAGCAACACATACATGATGTTGTGTAATTTTAACCCAAAACTAAGGCCTCAGGATGACTTTAAGACGTGAACATGGTCATTTTTGTTTTGTAACATTAAATAAAATGTATAAAAATATTTTATAAAAAAAAAAAAAAAAAAATTCCGATCCCCGATTTTTTTCTCCCGATCCCCGATCACGTGAAAATCACGTGATCGGCTCCGATCCCCGATCACGTGATCGGATCGGGACATCCCTAATCACAACGCTGTTATGAACGTTCCTCTGGTATAAAATGGGTGATGTTAGCATATTAGCAACCGAAGCTAAACTGACTATCTTGACAACTTGTTGCTATCCTATTGTGGCATAAGCCGTTTTCTACAGGCACTTTTTACCGGCGTATTTTTCATTATGATTCTACTTGTGATAGTCGTACATGACAACCTGTGCAGCCCATGTATTGATTCCATCCGATAGCTGCTATAATACAAAACAAAACGTCTGCCTGCTCTCCACAATGATCAATAACAGCGAACGGATGGTCAAAGTCAGGTACAAATAAACAGAATCACACGAAGCCTGGTTAGTGTTGCCTGACTTTATAAAGTGTGTTTTTTTTAATAAGTGTTGTTGCGTTCTAGTCACTTTGCTCAGCGCTACTGCTTGTTACAACTTTCATTTGCCGTACTCGCCATAAACTGTTATTGCTCAGGTTGATCCCGCCCCTGACCCCGCCTCCGACGTAAGCGTGACGTATGCGGTTCTTGCTTCTAGAGCGAAAATTGTTTGGTTTTCGGAGCTTAGAGGGGGCTCCGCTGCGGTGTGAACAGGAAAAACCGGTGCTTTTCAGGCTCTAGCTCCGAACCGGCCCTGGAACCGCGTTGGTGTGAAAGGGGCAAGAGACATGTTTTTTTTATATATATCTGAGACCTATAATATATTGATGAAAAACAGTATAATATGGGACCTTTAATACATGTCAAATTACAAGACAATGTCCTCCTATAATCATATGAAACCTGGCTTTATACTTAAAGTGGACCTATCATGCTATATTTGAATAATATAGTGTAGGACCATACCTATATAAGGCATATTTATACTTTTTTTTTTTCAAAATACCAAACAGATCATGCATTTTAGCCATGCCTCATTTTGCTCAATTTGACATTTTTTAGCTCTGTTTTTGCAAGGGCTGATTCTGTGAGAACAGCACCATCTACTGGCCTGGCATATGTACTACAGCGTCTCCAGCGCTTTCGAACGGCAATGGCCGTGGCTGTCTCCTCCTGATTGGTGGAGTTGGCCCAATAGCCGTAGCGCCACCGTCCTGACGTCAGGACAGTGTTCAAATCTGGATCAGTTTTTATCAGATCCGTTGCAGCCCCTTTTTTAGAGATTTGGGTATGGAGGAAAATAGAGAGGGTTGTGTTTTCTGACACTTGGTGAGTTCCCTGGAACACCGGGGACACATATTCATGTATAAAAGACGTACAAAAGTGCATTTTGCATGATAGGTCCCCTTTAAGGTGATAGCCGTTGAGTTGCTCAGAACAACACAACACTCCCCTGTGTGTCTGCATGTTTGTTCCTTTATTCATAGCCTTTACCGACATCAGGGACAAGCAGTCTGAGCTCCAACACCAGGCACCACGATGAATGTCCCTCCAAGAAGCTCCTCAGAGACACTAGTTGCTCTTTTAATGAACAAAGTAAATTATGAGGTCATATCATAATGTAATTTTTATCATTATGATTTTTAATCCAACCTGTTTAGTCGAGGTCTATTTAATTCTGTTGTTCTCCTTGTTGTTTTTATTTTGCAGTACATGGCTAGTCCACCCACTCTAATCAGCACTTAGTGATACATAACAATGATGCATGAGTAATGGATTGATTGACAAATGAATATATTACTAACTCAATATGGCACTCACACACAGGTTCTATTTTAAGACTTACCTGAAGAGCATAATTAAGATTTAAAGTGAACTCTACATTGTGTGTGTGTGTGTGTGTGTGTGTGTGTGTGTGTGTGTGTGTGTGTGTGTGTGTGTGTGTGTGTGTGTGTGTGTGTGTGTGTGTGTGTGTGTGTGTGTGTGTGTGTGTGTGTGTGTGTGTGTGTGTGTGTGTGTGTGTGTGTGTGTGTGTGTGTGTGTGTGTGTGTGTGTGTGTGTGTGTGTGTGTGTGCGTGTGCGTGTCTCACATTGGCCCACTTGCCCTGTGTCAATGTGCAGTAGTGAAGTCATTTATACTGTTCAAGGGCAGCGGGGACGCCAGGAGTGAGAGAGAAACAGACACTGAGACAAAATTAGGATAAATTGGTGGGTGGGAGAGGAGAAAAAAAGATTGGGGACTTCGAGAGAAAGGTCTGGTCAAGTAACACAGACACACTCATACACACATACACCCACACACACACACACACACACACACACACTCACAAAGATGTATGTCCTCAAACTGAAGGGTTGATGTGCAGTCACTTATCTGCTGAAGGGTGGCTCTGTGCGACAAGGTTAATGCCCCCTTACAAAATCTCAGGAGACATGACACACACACACTCACACACACACTCATTCTGCCCGACAATATGGATTATTTTTTTTAGCATGGGGTGGTGACACATTTTATTCATCATGGGCACTGTTTCTTCTCTTGGATTTATGCCCGTATTTATTTATTTATGATCAACTTCCATTTATTAGATTTTTCTGTGTGTTTGTTTTAGGCATTTGAGCTTGACTGGTGGTCTCTATATCTATTGAATTTGAACATGTCTGACTTTGGCGCCTTCCAGTGGTAGTATCGAGCTTTCACTGTGGCCCAGATTAGGCCCCAAGACACTGAGCAACACACTGACTGCCCTATACTTTTAACATTTGTGTTGCTAAAATGATGCTTAAAATTAAAATGCTTCTTACCTTAGTTGTTGACTTGTGACGGTATGTGTAGGCCATCATTTTGTAATATACTTTCTGTTATGGCTTCTTTTTATTCATACCTCTCATGGTTTACGTATATATGTCTCTATGTATTATTATGTATATATATATATATATAATTGGGTGTACAGGAGCGTATGTATGGATGAATATATTCATATGTGACCCGCTCTATCGAAATCAGTCGGAAGTCGCAACGGCTCATTTCAAAATAAATGTGGATTTGCGTAAAAAACTAGTATTTCGGGGTTCGGGTGTTTTGTTTGATTTTAAATAAACAAAGTCTTGGTTTTCAGAATATGAAACTTTTATTTCCAAAATCACTCGATAAATACATTTTTGAAGCTTGTGAAGGGAAGATGACAGGCACCTCTCACTCGCAATCTGCTCTTCCACAGCGCCCCCCACAGCGTCCCCTCCCTCCGGCTGAAGTTATGAATGTAAGGCGTATAGTAATCATAGATAACATGGCAGGGTCCGTTACAGTTTGTTTTCATCTGATTTCAAATAAACAAAGTCTTGGCTTTTAGAATATTAAACTTGTTTCGGCAAATTCGGATGATAAATACAACTTTGAAGCTTGTGACGGCATAATTACAAGCGGAGAACGGAGTAACTTGACGTCACAGCAGGCATAACAACAGCCGGTGTTTCTCGTGAGTGTTTTCCCCGGGAAACAAACACAATACACACAAACGCAAAAATACACAAAAAAAATATTTTCCCTCCGTAGTATTTTGATAATTTGCTAATAATCAATCAGATCGATGGATTCCAGAGAAGAGGAAACTTTGAAGGCCTTTTTCTCAAAATGATGACTCGGTGACAGTCATTATATAATGTGACATAATTTGCTTAATATTTGGAGTACAAAAACAATCCTGATATCATTAGAAAGCTAGGAATCTCCTCTCAAACTCAAACTCAAAATGTGTCTTCGGGTCAATGCGACTGATTTCGATAGAGCAGGTCACATATGTATATTCTTATAAACTTAACACAAAAAGGCAATTTGTGTTTGCTAGATGATTTCTATGTTGTAACAATGCTTTTTGGCAATAAATCTTATACCGTTGGAAAGCCTGTTTTCTTACCTTTCCAATGGTACCACAATTGTGAGGAACAAGCATTTGTGGGATGAGCAGCAGAGCTGAGTATGTGGGGTGTGGCCATGAAAAATGTGACAAATCTCCTCTGCCAATGCCCAACAGGCTTTCCAACGGTATAAGATGTATTGCCAAAAAGCATTGTTACAACATTGAAATCATCTACCAAACACAAATTGCCTTACTTTGTGTGTTAAGTTTATATTTCTCTTCTTTGGGACGGTGAGAAACAACATTTTGTTGTCTCTGTTTGTATCACACATGCAGAGAAATTAACAATAAAGTTGCCTTTGACCTTTTTTCCACATCTCATGATTTGATGTGATCTTTTGGCCCCACAGAATGTCGCTGAGACGGAGACGGAGGAAGGCCAGACCCAGCCAGACCCGCCGCGGCCACCACAGGAGCCCAAAGGAGGAGACCAGCCCTCCGAACCAGCCCCGCTCCAGACCCCCGCTCCAGAGGAGGCTCCGTCGGAGGGCTCGGACCAGAAGGAGCCACCGGGAGACGAGGAGGAAACGGGCGACTCAGCGTCCCAGCTCCAAGCCAAGCCTCTGTGGAAGCCCATCCCCCCTCTGCTGCCCGAGTCCAACATGAGTGAGAACGGAAGGACCAGGGACCAGATCTGCCAGACTGACGGCAGCGAGGGTCACAACTCAGGTGGGTGAAGCTCCTGCCGTCCTCATTCATCCACCTCCAGGCCGAAGCTGTCCGTCAGCCTCCTGTGGAGCTATATGGCTGGCTGCGTGCTCCACATCACTTCACACAGGAAGTGGAACAAAAAGAGGCGGTACAGATACTGTGCACCGCTGATTAGTCTTAACACTTCTAAAAGTCTTTATTTAGAACCTTTCATTAAATGCTCAGACCTGCAAAAGTAAACCTTTCTCTGCTTTGATTTGGGAAAGTACAATGAAAATGAGAGGCATATAAATATACAACATAACATTTATATTCTGGAAAAACAGAATGTTCTCTTAAATGGATATTTGGCTCACCGAGCTGTAACCACTTCCTCCACGGAAAGGTTGCTGGCTCTCCATTACGCCTCCATCATCATAGCAGGTTGATCTGAAACTACAGGAAACCAATTTTTGCAACACTTCTGCAGCTGACAACTAGTGTGATTCATGGATAATAACATGTGCTGCATGGCCATTACATCTGCAATCATGGTGACATCATGTCTAAATCGGACATATTTGTTTCCTTCCTCCGTTAGTTCCTTCCTTCCTGCTTTTCTTCCACAGTAGCTTCCCTTCAAAAACAAAGGTAGACATCTTGATTGATTCAGTTAGTGCTGCTAACACAGCTACTCACGGTAAAAGGAACTGTTTGCTGGGCCGACATTTCTGCTTGGTTGATCTTTGACCCTGTTGCAGGGGGGGGGGGGAGGGGGTCAGCGGGTCACTGACCTGCCCCGCTGGAACTATAGCAGCTAGCCTAGCCGCGGTGTGGGGGGAGGGGCTCGGGGAAAACTCATTCTGTCTCACATTAACACATAATCTCCATCGCTCTCTCTGTCAAACTCACTCACACAGTTGTCAGTCACTTTTTTTGCTCTTTTTCTGTCTGCGTCTTTGTGGGCGTGTCTGCCTTCTGCCTGTGTCTCACTCACTCACACACTCACACACACACACACACACACACGCACACCATACACACATTGCCAAGCTGCTCTACTTCCCCTGCAGTATGAATTTGTGTATTTGTGTGTGTGTGCATTCAAGCATATTCGAGGGCCAACAAGACTTTAAACATGCAAGGTTTCCCCTCATAGTGTTGTTATCTGACCAGAGGCCTGTACTACGAAGCTGGTTCAACCTAACCTGGATATGTTGGAGTTAGCCGGTTGGCCCCAATCCAAAACATACGCGCTCTCGCTAAACTGTACTACGACGCTGGTTATCAAGTGGATCGCTCAAGCCAGCCGTGTCCTATCTAGTTAGGTGCGCGTTCACATGAAATGGGTGGTATTTGGAGCATTCGACCAATCACAAACACGGACAAGCGTACTGACAGCGCAGCGTCATACTTCCTGAATGAAAAGTGAACTTTAATATTAGTCAAATATGAAGAAGTTAAACTTTAAACATCCATGACTTAAACACTTTATCCAGGATAAAAGCCACATAGCTGCACCTGCAAGGTGAATACAGCTGGTAAAAGAAAAAGTGTTTGAATGCGTACATTAACAGGTTTATGATATCACTGCCCCGTCCAAGACACGAGTGGATCTGACTTTAATTACATTTGACTCGAGTGTTTCGTCAACTTAATGTGTTGCTTAAAAGAATACTTCTGCATACAGTATGTGACACTGTGAGTGTTGCACGGCCAGATACGGCTCAGCTGACTCAAATAAGGAAATATATGATACATTATGATGTGATATGATATGAATGATAATGGGACACATCGACGTCTGCACTCACAGTGCCGCGGACTGTAATGTTACTCTGATCCGGTTACTTATGTCGTGGCAGATATTTAAGTAAGCTTTCTTAACGCTAATGTTATAATAGTCAGATTGCTCTATTAAGATGGGAGGTGATATTCTATTAATTTTCACGTTCACACAGTCAGGTGATTTTTGCCGGCCGTCTTTCCTGCAACGGCAGTTTTTCTGTATTTCCTCTATCCTGTAATATGACTTGAGCGCTTTAAACTCCGCACACGGAGCTCTGATTGGTCAGCAGGCGGTGCTTTCACTGAGTTGATCTCTTAGCCTGCAACCTAAACTGCTCCGGAGGAGGTTAGCCGCTCAGCATAAGTTACCATGGAGATCTAGCCCGCTAAAAAGAGAACCAGCGTCGTAGGACCGGAAAGCCCGAGTTTTCCCTGAAGTTAGCTCGCTAAGCGAAAATCCGGCTTCGTAGTACAGGCCTCAGAAGTAACTTGATCTTCCATAGAACAAAAATAAATATCAAAAACAAAACGGACTAATAAACAAAATGTGGATCTTTGTCACAGCTAGAAACATTGACAGTGTTTTATTTAGAGATTGGTCCCACTCATCATCACGGTTTCAAAATGCTCTTTCCTTTCCTCCAGTCCCCTTCTTTTAAAATAATGAGAAATGAAACGTCAGCCTATGAAGTGATTACAGGGTGTTCACTGGGGTTTGTGAGAGTAATTGGTCTGCTCTCGGTGCTGTTTACCCCTCTCTGATTACTTTTCATTGCAACGGGCATACAGTCGTCGTATTGATGTAAAAACTAAGTGGCTGGAATAATAAAAAAAACATGAAAATCGCTAGAATGATAGCACTTCGACTCCCGCAATCCATCTTAATACCTATTGTGGATCATGGAGTCTCAGGTGACAACCATCCATTATACAGGAACCAACATCTTTATTTTTTATGTTTTATATAAAGGAAAAATACAATTGTTTGGACCTATTAGTAAAAAAACACCGTAAAAGGATCCCCTCCATTCAAAAAAGTGTTTTTATGATGGAGATTAAACCATAAGAGCAACTCAGTGAATCGTAGAACATCTGAATCCCTACTAATGTCTGCATCACTGTTACCCAGCTGACCCCTGCACTGCCTTCTGATTGGTCGAGCATTTTCCAAATACACAGCAATGAATTTCATCCTGGTTCGCTGTTTCGGTTGATAAAGTGACACCCAAGCTGTTGGACTAAGCACAAAATAAATGGACGTATGGACGTGTGTGTGTGTGTGTGTGTGTGTGTGTGTGTGTGTGTGTGTGTGTGTGTGTGTGTGTGTGTGTGTGTGTGTGTGTGTGTGTGTGTGGTGTGGGTGTGTGGGTGTGTGGGTGTGGGTGTGGGTGTGTGGGTGTTCATGTTCATGGAGGTAATGAGGTCAGAGTGAATCACTGTCTCATTCAGACCTCATTGCCTGACAGTGATTGTGTGTAGCCTTTAACCACATTGCAATATACCCTCTGTGTCGTAGCAGGTGATGGAGTATTTCTCTGAGTCTGTCTTACTGATGTAATTATATGCCGGATTTGATCAAATACATCCCCCCCCCCCCTCTGTCTCCAGGCCTGTGTGCGGAGCCCGGAGATCCTCCTCTGCTCCAGCAGCCTCTGCAGACCTCCAAGTCAGGGATCCAGCAGATAATTGAATGCTTCCGTTCAGGTGTGTGTGTTTTCTTTTGTTATTTATTTTCATTATTTATGGCGCGGGCACAGTGCAAATGTTTTTCCAGATGGCAGGAATTACACGTCCTGTGTCTGTATGTCTTGCAATATAAAAAAATAAAAAATGAACCACCAAGAAAATGAGTAAGAAAGATAATGTGTTTAATGTAGACCAATTTTGAATAGAGTATAATTTTAGCAGTCTGTCTCCAGCAGTTTGTCACTTTCCACTGGGGAGCGTTTAAGAATGTAAAACAGTGGCAGTACTTTGCATTAACAGCAGCTCAACTCCAGGTGACTCAGTGCTACTCATGTGTGAGTAAAATACCAAACAGAGAAAAATACACGATGCTACTCAGACAAAAGTGCTCTTTTTGTTGCTTCAAATATGAGTCACATCTCCAACAAAGCACTGAAAACATCCACATGGACAAACTGAATGGAAATTGAACGTATGAGTCAGACGGCAATGACGGAAAACGTGAAGCTGATGACAGCGGTGACGCAAAAGTGGCGCAAAGCAATCGTCATGTCAGTCCTTTTTTTAAATGTCACAGCGGTTCTGTAGTGACGGGGGACACATTGACACCACAGGAAGGAGACAACATTAGCACCGGCCAAATTCTGCTAAAATATGAAAATCGCATCACTGAGCAGCCAAAAAAAGTGATCATCTGTAGAGTGACTGATGAAGCTTAAATATTCACTGGCAATGGACAAAACGGTTAATTTTTGTGTCCTGCTCACAGGCAATTTGTACATACTGGATTTCAGCCTACAGTTTTCTTCTGTTTTCTCAGATCATATAAGATTATATTATGCCCTGAGTGTGCAGACCTTTTTCTAGTTCATATTTAAGCTGTATCAACTAGAATTTACAACTTAAAAGGCTTGTTGTATTGAAGTGTTTCGATGTTCAGTGCACTTTATGAGCCTGTCACATGACATCAGTGGACATTTTTAAACGCCAGCTATAGACACATCTTTTTAGATTAGCTTTTTATTAGCAACCCCCCCCCTTTAAATGTTCTTTTGGTCTTTATTATTTACCTACCGTTATAATAGGCGCTTTCACACCAAGTACTTTGCCGTACTTAGTTCATCAGAACTCTTTAGTTGTGATGAACTAAAGAGCAGATCGCGTTCACACCGGAATAAGTCCCTGAGGGAGGATTAGGCAAATGAAGCCGCTGACGTCACTTCTTCTTCTTCTGCTTTGGGTTTACTGGCAGGCCGCAAACAACTTCACGGCGTATACTGCCACCCGGAGTCCCCGGCCGGAAGTCCCCGGAGTTGGGGACTGGCTTCAGTAGAAGCTGCTGGGAGTCCCAGCAGCTTCTACTGAAGCCTTCCGAGTAAATCGCCAGAACGCCGACACCTCCTCATCTCCACCGCTGCTCCCATGTTTTCTTTTGTGTAGCCATAAGTTATTCTCTCTCTGTTGGTGCGCTGGGCTAATGCTAATGCTAATAATGCTAATGCCAGCAAATCAGAAATGGGAACCTTTTTCTCCCAGGAAAGTACCTGCTCTCTAGCAGGGACTAAAAAGGGGGTAAAAAGGTTCTCATGAACTAAGTTCTAGTTCCGGATTTTTTTGGTGTGAACGCAAATAAATAATAAGTTATAAAAAAGTACTCCGGTGTGAAAGCGCCTATTGTTTTATAGAAAAAGAGAGAAACTATTATTTATTTTATTTGACTTTATTTTTATTATCATACATTTTACCTCCTTGTGTCGATCAACCTGATAACATTTTATATTTTGTTGCATGTACCTTTTAAAAGTTCTTAACAAATAATCTGAGGGGAATTTCTCGTTTGTTTTTAACTTGTGATGTGTCGCCATTTTGTAAAGCACTTTGAGCTGCACGTGTTGTATGAAAAGTGCTACATAAATAAAGCTTTATTATTATTACAGACATCTTTCAAACAACTGTATGACTAAACGTTTAAACTCATTTCCTTTTCCTTTGGCTTGCAGGCACGAGCCAGCTGAGACACATGCTGCTGAGGGAGGTGGACACCATCTTTGAGTGTAAACTGTGTCGCAGTCTGTTCAGAGGCCTGCCCAACCTCATCACACACAAAGAGTACTACTGCCTGTCACGGATGCCCGAGCCCGACGGTTAGTGACGCAACACACACACACACACACACACACACACACACACACACACACACACACACACACACACACACACACACACACACACACACACACACACACACACACACACACACACACACACACACACACACACACAACACACACACACACACACACACACACACACACACACACACACACACACACACACACACGTCCAGAATACAAACAACTAAGCTGCTTTCAAAAATCTAAGCACACCAACACGACCAGAAAACTCAAAATAATAATGGGTTCCATTTATAAAGCACTTCATATTTGATTTCAAATCCCGAAGTGCTACAAGCAGTGAGCATGAACAGTATACAAATTAAAAGGCAAAGCAGGTAAAACGAGTGCATGCGAGGACATGGATTTGCAATCTTTAACGTATCAACCTGACAAACAGGCAAGGATCAAACTGTATTAGGCACATCTTTTAGTTTGGTTAACACACAAACTTATGAAGATAATCATTGTTAACTTCTCCTTGCTTCTCCACATTTTACTTTAAAGGTCCCCTATTATACTATTTTTCATCAATATATAGGTCTCACATATATACAAAACATGTCTCTGAAGTGTTTGGCTCCAAACACCAAACAGATCATTGCAGCATCCCATAATCCCCTCTGTTTCAGCCCTGTTTCAAAAGTGCTGATTCTCTGTCTGTTACTTTAGATGAAAATAAGGAGCCCCTCCCCACGCCCCTCTGAGAGATATTTGGTTAAAAAGAACACAATGGTGCTCTAGGAGCAGATTCAGGTGATAAGGTGGGGGGGGGGTTACCTTGGTTGGTGATTGGCTAATGGTTACACAAGCCAACACATCGTTATGACATCATAAAGTGGCCAAAATCTGATCAGCTCATTTTCAGACAGGTTTTTATATAAATGGATCAGGACAAAAAGAGAGAGAATCTTATTTCCTGAATCTCTTTACACAGAGGGGACACATGTTGATGTATAAAATACATGAAAAAGTGGATTTTGCATAATGGGTGGCCTTTAAAAAGTCTTTCACACACACACACACACACACACACACACACACACACACACACACACACACACACACACACACACACACACACACACACACACACACACACACACACACACAACACACACACACACACACACACACACACACACACACACACACACACACACACACACACACACACACACACAAGCACACAGCAACATGTTCGATCCATCAGTCATTTCCCTCACTAAAAGTGGAGATTCTCATATCTAAGGAAATCCACTTTGAGCTGGCAGCATTTGTGTTATAAACTTCTCATTAGCACCAGTGTGTGTCCAATTCTCTGTTCTCTGCTGCTCAGAAGTGGAAGGACACAATGGAGCCTCGGAGACTTCTCTGTTTTAATTCAACTCACCTCTCCTCCTAAAAGGGAAATCAATCTCAACACAGTTAAATCCACTATAATGATCGTTGTAGTAAGAAAATAACTTTAGTTTCATTAATCTCCTTTCCATCTGCTTGTGGTCTTAATTCACTTGTTTGTTACCAGAGGCAGAAAGTGTATCGTATTGTTATTTTGATGAATGTAGTAATTGGTGTCTGTTTTTTGAGACGCTGGGCATTAATTTTGCAGATACTGAATAAACAAAATATTTTTTCTTGTAAAACCCTCAATTGTTCCCCATCCTCTCTGACAGCGGACCTTTACAGCCTCCAGTGATGATTTGTGGTGCGAGTGCCCTTAAATTCAAACCCATTCTTCATTCTCTCTTTATCTACTGGTGTAAATAATGGTATGAAGTAAACTTGCACATTTAGCAAAAGAAGAACATCCACATAAAGGAGGCTTTAGAGAGGCAGAATAATTCACGTTAAAAGCCCTGTGTGGATAAGATAATGTTCCAAACAAAACAGGAAGTGTGTGAGACCCTCGTCTACTGAGAACATAAATGGAGTCTCAAAAACCCATTCACATGTTGCCTTTCTTTGTGTTCAGTAGCACACAAGAGAATCAAAGAGATGAGGTGTATGGTCTTTGGGAGAGGACGTGGTCTTTTAAAAATAGGGGCTTTTAGCACATGCCTCACTCATTTCCTCAGGATGATGATTTTCTAACCATTAGATGACTCCTTTCCACTAATTCATACATTTCCATTCTGGTTTGTTATCTACTTCTGCTACTTTATACTATCAAGACTACGGGTACATTTTAAAAGCTGCTATAAGGAAACATGGCTTGTGTCCTTTTTAGTTTTTTTTCTACAAAAATCTATTATTTAGTTTAGCTTTCTTTCTGTAAGACCAGAGTTTGGTGTGTATAGATTACGTTTCCAAATGTTACACTGGGACATCCACCAAGTACAAACTGACTCAGGTGGTGCCATTCTTCTTTAGCTAGTCGTAAAAGCTATATTTATCACATTCATAGCTATGTTCTTCATTCCCATATAGACTAACACTTAGTAAGACGTCGCTCAATTTCCATGAGGTTTGTTAAATAGTAACCGACTAAAATGCTATGGCAAGCTCACACCTGTTCTATTGTATCTGCAAAAAACATTAGCTTATGTTGCTAACGTTAGCTACCACTGTCTGAAGCTCCCCGCGCTGCAGCCTTGTTCACTTGGTTTGTGGAAAAAACAAAACAAAAGCAAAGCACACTGTGTGTAGTTCAGAGACCCTGGGAAATTCAAGCACCCGATGATAAGTGAGCTGGGTCGAGTCTGATATTGGTTTGGGACGCTCAAGGATGCTTGGACCTACCTTATATTAACCTTAATCAATCCTTCCGTAACTATTATCTTTGATTCTTAACTGATTTCCTTCATTTTGATTTATTAATTATAGGTCCGTCGGGTGATGACAAGCAGAGTGTGGCCATGAAGGAATTATTGGACGTCATTTACCCCCGAGCTCCAGACTACGTGGTCCGACTGGAGCCCATTCAGACCAGCAACAAGGCCGTGTTCCAGTACCTCACCACCGAGGAGGAGCTGGCTAGATTTCCATCGCAGACACCCAGGTAGGGGGCATGCTGATGCTTTTAAATTGACTTATTTTGTTAGCGGTTGTTGGGAAAATAGTGAATGTCCTCTTCCAATATGAGAGTCCACATGATAACAAAGGTATCCCAACTGTAGCTGTGTACATGACAGGATGTATGATTACCTAGAAGAGCATCAGGACTGTTTTAGGCATATGATAGCTATGTGATTAACATGATGATTCAGCCTCTATGGAGATAGACATATGACAAGCATGATCATTTCTGACGTGGAGCTAATCTGAAGTAAACATTGAATACTGCTTTCTATTCCTCCATCTTGTGACTGTGTAACTCCCTCTCTTGGATATCAGCATGTGAAGGACACTGTTCAGGAACTAGTTGTACCAAATGTTCTGTATGTGATGACTACTTCCATTCTGGAGAGGATCATAAATACATGGATCCTGATTAGTGAAACTCAAGCCGGTGACGAGTGATATCTTCTTAACAGTGGTTTACAGAGGATTCATATGGTTTCTCTTGGCTGTCTTCAAATCAAATGGGATTTTAGGAGAGCTTCTCTTGTCTCTGACGGTTTGTCTCGATGTCCTTCACAGTGCTAGAGAGAGTCCGGTAGCGTGGGAGGGAGAGCAGGGGGAGGGAGCCGACAACAGCCAGGCGAGCCAGCCGGAGAGCCACAGCAGCCCGGGACACACTCAGGATAAGAAGAAGTGGGAGGGGGAGGAGGAGGCCAAAGAAGAGCCGCCACCACCCGAAGACGAGGGCTCCACCAGCGGGGTAAGTGACCCGAGAAACACCTGCTTGTGTCCTCATACGCTCGCTGACGATGTTTCTCAGACTTTGTTCTTCTTCGCCCCCCCCCCCCCCGACCAGGTGGACGATGTGACCATCTCCTGCTGCCTGTGCGGTCAGGACTTCAACTCGCGCCGCAGCATCCGGCGTCACTGTCGCAAAATGCACCAGAGCAAACTGGACGAGCTCCGGAAGTTCACCGAGACACGGACTGTTCCCACCAGCCTGCTCTCCATGGTGAAAGGTGAGAGCTTAAATACAGCCTGCCCCAAAACATGCTAAAAAGGTTGAAAATTGTGAATCATTGTGATTGAGAGTCCAGGTAATTATGATAAGAAATGTTTTACAAACCCACCATACGGTCATAACAAATACAGTGCAGTGATTTTTAAAATAATCAAATGATAATACTGATGTTTTCTTGCGTTGGTGGAAAACTATATTTTCAAGACAAGCAGCCTTAAACTCGTCAGTACTTGCATGCACATTGGATGTGGAGACATTTCAATGTGTTGTAAATAACTAATGAAATTAAATGTGTTCAATGCTCAATATCTCATTATGGGGACAACAAATATTTAGGTCTATTCATCATTATGTAATACTTGGGATCAGCTCCATAGGTCTTTTTACTCTTTGCTTTGCTTGCTATAGAAGTTATTTCTTTCTTAGAGTTTCAAGATAAACATAAGAATGAATAACGATTGTTGTTGTTGCTTCAGGTCGGCCGAGGACTCTCAGCACACCGACCGGAAAGTCCTGTCCTGTCTGCATGAAAACCTTCGCCACCAAGGCCAACGTGCGGCGTCACTTCGACGAGGTGCACCGCGGCCTGCGGAGGGATAACATCACTCCCAACATAGCATCTCGCCCCGGACAGCCTCTCAATCTGGAGGTCACCCCCCCCAGGAAGAGCAACAACTCCTCTCCGACTCGTAGCAGCAGCTCCAAGTCGACCCCTGTGACCTCTAAAACTCCGCCTCCCAGCCAAACCCAGTCCAAAGCTCCGAGCACGCCCCCCGCCTCGTCACAGACGGCCCCTTCCTCCAGCCGCTGCACGCTCTGCAAGAGGAACTACAGCTCTCAGGTTAGTATGCTCCAAACATCTGGAACAAACCAGAAACCTGCCGGTCCGCTGCAACTCTTACTACTTTTAAATCCAGGCTGAAGACTTTTCTTTTAATTGACATATCTCACACTGCACTGTAACTTTTATTCATGCACCTTTGTCATTCATGTTTTATTATCTTTGCTTTTAAATGAGTGTTTTGAAATGCCATTTTAGAATATGTTTCTGCTGCACTATTTCTTAATGCTCTCAATGTCTTTCATTTTTGTAAAGCACTTTGAATGACCTTGTGTTGAAAGGTGCTATATAAATAAACTTGCCTTGCCTTACTCTCAGCTTTTCTAGATTTGAAAAAGTCTCCGTGCCTGGCATCCGTTCTAGTTGGTGCTATTTATCATCTTGTATCGGTTGGAATTCTCATGTCTTATCTAAAGGAGGAAAACGTGGATTAATTATTATTTCTCTCTCTGTGTATTTCAGCTCATGTTGAAGAGACACATGCGTATCGTCCACAAAATATACAGCATGAAAAACAATCGCTCTGCCCCGCCGCCCGCCCCCCCCGCTCCGGCGGCCCCGCCTCCGAGCAGCAGCGCTAACTCCGCCACGAGCAACAACGTCAGGGTGAAAGAGGAAGCAGTAGAAGCCTCAGATGAAGAGGAGGAGGAGGAGGAGGAAGAGGAGGAAGTGGACACCAGTCCGGCCCCGTCTCCTAGCGACAGCACCGCGGCAGCTAAAGGTGTCCCTGTGGCGAACAGCGCCATGAAAGTGAAGGAGGAAGAGGCGCCGTCGAGCCCGAAGGTGGCGTCGTTATCTTCGTCATCCTCACGCAGCACCGGCACCTCCAAGACCCCCAAACTGTCGGTGGGCTTCGACTTCAAGCAGCTCTTCTGCAAACTGTGCAAGCGGCAGTTCAGCTCCCGGCAGAACCTCACGAAGCACATCGAGCTGCACACGGACGGCAACGAGATCTTCATCAAGTTCTACCGCTGCCCGCTCTGCCGCTACGAGTCGCGCCGCAAACGGGACGTCCTGCGCCACGTGACGGTGGTCCACAAGAAGTCCTCGGCGTACCTGGGCAAGATCATGCCCAAACTGGAGAGCCGGGCGGTGAAGAGGCAGGCCGAAGTGGTCCTGAACAGCGGGACCCCCAACAAGAGGATCGGCAGCAGCGGGGGCAAAGAGGAAGTGAACGGGCGCCCCCCTTCTTCCTCCCCCTCATCCTCCCCTTCACCTCCCATCACTCGCAAGCAGGAGGTCTCCACACCTGCAACAACCTCCTCCTCTTCATCGTCTTCCTCCTCGCACCCCGCCCCCGTCACTCGCAAACAACAGGAAGTGTCATCGCCGGCGTTAAGCCCCTCCCCTCCCCTCACCCGTAAGCAGGAGAGACAGCAGACCCACCAGCCTCGCCCCGTCAGCCCCCCGCTGACCCGCCGCAGTGAGAAACACTCACACCAACGCAGCTCCTACTCCAACAGCTCTCCCGGCAACCAGACGCCACACACCCGGCAACACGACAGCCAATCAGAGTGCAGCGGCTCGTCGTCCTCCACCGAAGTCAGAGTGACCAAGAACTTCTCCCTGCACGCCTGCGACCAGTGCGGGCGAGCCTTCGCTAAGAAGGTACTGGATTTAACATTTCTGATATACATGTTTTATGGAGTGAGGGATATTATTGGATTTAAAAAGTGGATTTCTGTGGAAATGATCATCTGTATGAACTCCAGTGTGAGGAGTGGAGAAGATGGTTAGCATCACATTGAATTTCTTCGTAAAGACACGGACAGCAGGGGTGGCTCTCTTATAACTTAGATCAGTGCTTCTCAAACATTTTTCAGTAATGTACCCCCTTTGAAACATTTTCTCAGCCAAGTACCCCCTGACCGACCCCGGACATTTTTGATAGAAAAAGCCTATATAAATAATTACAATATAGTGATGTTCCACCAGTGTTTGATTTATTAACTCCTTCATGCACGAATTACAACAAACTAAGGATATTTTCATCTTTATGCACGAAAAAAAGAATATAACGAAAACAAATTAAAACAGATTTTTCCAAGGAGTTTTTCAATTGAAGTAACCAATGATCAAACAAAATGGACCCCCTTAGTGGTTATAGGAATATTTTATATAAAATTGTGTTTTCTATTCAACTTATTGAACTAAACTCAACTAAAATTATTTATGTAATCATGCATGGTATTTTTTTAATTAACCTATTTATTTATTTTTAATCTCACGTACCCCCTGCAGTACCCCAACGTACCCCTAGGGGTCCGCGTACCCCCATTTGAGAATCACTGACTTAGATCAAGTGCTTTGAATTTCTGTGAACTGAGTCGTGTTCCAAAGAAATCAATGTGTCTAAAAGTCTCAGTTTTAAAACACAAGTTCTTGGTTTTCAGCGACACAGATCTGAGAGACTGGTTTTTGACTCTGATTTATTTATATATTGATATGTAAATGTATGTTTTGTTGAAGAGATGAGACAAATTTGAAGATGCCTGAGGAAAACCTACGAATTTGTAACTCAAAAACGTTAACTCTTAAATCAAAAATAATTATAACTGCAGTTGATATATCAAGATATGCTAAATAATGGCGGTTACAGCTGATAGTAAGTCATCAGGTGTTCTCTTTATCTGACCTGGCTGTCGTATCAAAGATGTGTTATCTAGTAGATTAATGAATACAATGGTCTTTCCTGTGTTTGTCAGCTGTACCTGGAGTCTCACAAGCGAAGCCATCGTAACGCAGTGACGGCGGCGGCCAGCAGGAGGAAAGGAGTCAGCACCCGCTCCAAATCCCTGGTCTGGTGAAACACTCGGTGAGAAAACACTCTCCTCTTCATCACTGTCCACTCGTCGTCCTCTCAATTTGCCTGGATTGCTTCCTGTCACGTTATGTGTCTCTTCTGTGTCTTCCCAAAGCACAATGAGATGCTGCTGCGTGGTTAAGCAACCAAGCAGAGGTGGAAGAAGAACTCAAATGATTCACTTCAGTCAAAGTAGCAATACTACAGTGTAGACATACTCAGTTACAAGTACAAGCGAAAAAGGTATTAGCATTACACATATTTGAAGTGCAAAGAGTAAAAGTACTTGTTATGCAAAATGGCCTTTTTAAGCACCAGATATTAAAATAAATACAAATAAATTATAAGTGCCTTTTTGTGTTCATCACTTTAATGTTGCACTTGGTAAAAGTGGGGTTTATTTGAGTTACTTTACATACTACTGGGTAGCTTAACCTATTATAATATATTATAAATTATAGTGTCAATTTGAATTTAAAGTAACTGCAAATAAATCTGCAAAATAAATAAATATGTAAAATAAATGTAGTGGAGTAAAAAGTACAATATTTGCTTACAAGATGTATTGGAGTAAAAAGTGGCATAATGTGAAAATACTCAGTACAAGTAACTCAATGTTTTACTTAAAGGGGACCTATCATGCAAAATGCACTTTTGTACGTCTTTTATACATGAATATGTGTCCCCGGTGTTCCAGGGAACTCACCAAGTGTCAGAAAACACAACCCTCTCTATTTTCCTCCATACCCAAATCTCTAAAAAAGGGGCTGCAACGGATCTGATAAAAACTGATCCAGATTTGAACACTGTCCTGACGTCAGGACGGTGGCGCTACGGCTATTGGGCCAACTCCACCAATCAGGAGGAGACAGCCACGGACATTGCCGTTAGAAAGCGCTGGAGACGCTGTAGTACATATGCCAGGCCTGTAGGTGGTGCTGTTCTCACAGAATCAGCCCTTGCAAAAACAGAGCTAGAAAATTCCTACACTATATTATTCAAATATAGCATGATAGGTCCACTTTAAGTTCAGTACTTGAGTATATGTACTTAGTTACATTGTGTGTGTGTGTGTGTGTGTGTGTGTGTGTGTGTGTGTGTGTGTGTGTGTGTGTGTGTGTGTGTGTGTGTGTGTGTGTGTGTGTGTGTGTGTGTGTGTGTGTGTGTGTGTGTGTGTGTGTGTGTGTGTGTGTGTGTGTGTGTGTGTGAGGTTTAACAGCTGTTTCCTCTCTCTGTGTGTATCACTCTGCTCATTAGAAATCTACCTCTTTGTCTAATTGTCTTTCTCTCCTTTTTTATTCCCTCTTGATCTCTCTCTCCGTCTTTTCTCCGCTTCCTTTTGTCGTCGTCTCCTCTCTCTCTCTCTCTCTCTCTCTCTCTCTGTCTCTGTCTCTCTCTGTCTCTCTCTGTCTCTCTCTCTCTCTGTCTCTCTCTCTCTCTCTCTCTGTCTCTCTCTCTGTCTCTCTCTCTCTCTCTGTCTCTCTGTCTCTCTGTCTCTCTCTCTGCTCACAGTCCGCAGGGAAAACGCCGCTAACAATGAAGGAGCCAATCAAAACTCTCAACGGGAATATAATGGACGAATGGAAGGAGCGCAAACCAACGGAAGGAGTGCAAAGGATTTCCACCTTTTGCTCGAGAACCAAATATAAAGTTGGGAATCTTGACATTTATTTAGTGAAGTTTCATCAGCCGCACAAAGCCGCTGCTATCCACAGAGACTGTAGCAGACAGAGGATTCATTATGCTGTACATATCTGTATTTACTGAAGCAGAGTCATATGCAGATGGCTGATTTCTACCGCTTTGCTCTCTGTAGCTGAAGGATGGAGTGTGTGTGTGTGTGTGTGTGTGTGTGTGTGTGTGTGTGTGTGTGTGTGTGTGTGTGTGTGTGTGTGTGTGTGTGTGTGTGTGTGTGTGTGTGTGTGTGTGTGTGTGTGTGTGTGTGTGTGTGTGTGTGTGTGTGTGTGTGTGGCAACCTACAGAGAACATCAACTGAAAAGGAAATTTGGACACACATGTTTGGGTCCAACTTATGTTTCGTGTCATTAAGTTATTTGATATTCTCACAGCTACTTGCTCAACAGATACACATTTCTCTATTCCAATTTTTGTACCTGACATTTCCCCACTAACAATTAAGGCTTGGATATTTCCTTTACTTAAGAAACTTCCCCTAAGTGTTTCCTCTTGTAAGTCTTCACATGCTTACCTTGAAAATATGAGTTGAAATATTCTCTTCTAAACGTTGATACTGACAAACCATCAGAAGCAGAATTCCCGAAGTAATCTTCATGCAAGCAGCTCCATAAACTGACTGACCTTAGTGACCAACAGGGTCATTAATAACAGGGTATGATAAGTGAAGGGAACCCCAAAATGTATTTTTAGTTTCCCGTGAAACAATTGCTTGTGTGTGCTTTGAAAAACAAACGTCTGTCGAGATGTAAATGGTGTTTTCTTACTCTGTTATGTTATCCCTGTTTGACTGCATGTGGAATCATTTTGTGGCCGGTGTTACCTTTACCTTGACCATACCCTGTTTTATTTATAAAACTATATAAAATATTCGACCAATAGCCTGGTTGTAAGAGAACTGTAAGGCAATGTGAAGCGAGGATGGCCCACAGGTGCAATCGCACTACAACGACCCGAAACACTTTCATTAGGAGAAAACGCGCTGCAGTTTCAAAAACGATGCAAATATATAAAAACAAAACTGTGCCTAAAAACAAGCAAACATGACTTTATAATAGCCAACTTTATAATCCCTGAATGTCAGCAAGCGCTCGTGTTTTTCAGCTTTTTAGTGTCCCTGTTTTCGTTGTATTTTGAGCGTTATCTGCAATTGTGTTTTTAAATTTGCATCGTTTTTGAATGAGGCGTTTGCGGACGTGTCTGAGGGAGTAATGTCCGGAAAGGAGGGAAGCATTTCGAGGAACACCTTCACTCAACAAAAATCCAACAAACTGCACTAAGTATGATGATTTGAAACATAGAAAATATGCTTTTTTTTTTATGCTTGAAGATTAAATCAAATACATTTTCTTCCAAATTATTTAATTATACTTCAATGTAACAGCTCAGTTTGACTGTTGACTCAAAGGTGTGCTTCATAACATTTAAACTATCAAATTAACACCATTATTACCCCCTATGTGGTGAATTACCACTTATGTGTGAGAATCTCATTTAAGGTGAGCAGGAGAGAGGTGTTTCGGATTGGTTGGTGTTACAGGAACATGGAAACAATTAACTGGAAGCATTTAATTTCCGAGCAGCCGGTGTAGGAGCTTTGAACTGATTATTTGTGGTGCTAATCCTGATTTATAACGGGCCAAAATGTGTGAGAAAGCTACACACTTCTTGTCTCCAAAAGTAAAAAGTTTACATTAAACTTTTCGTTCCTTTTACGAAAAAAAGACCAACTGGGATTTCAACTTTGTGAACTTTTCTTTAAGCTTAAGGGGGCTGCGTTGTTTAACGGCAGCAACAGGAACCCCGAGGTAGTCTCTGAAAACACTGGCACGTGAGTTTGGTGGAAAGAAACGGAGGAAGACCAAATGTAGAAATGTTTTAATGTCTTAAACGGAAAGCCATGAAAAGGATCAAAACCAGTGGGAAAGGAAAGACCAAACTTTATTTTTATAAACGCTACTGCAACAAGGTCTTATCTTGGTATACATAATAGTTCTAATAGTCAGAGTAGTTATCGACTTGAACTTAACTGTTGGTTGACCATGCGCTTCAAACATACTTCTGTCACTGTTTCATACTGTTTGTGTTTCACATTAAATGTCTTTTTTTTGTATTTCATTCCTTTTTTGTTGGAAAGAACAGAACTTTAATCGAACCTCACGAGGACATTTTTTGTTGTAAACTTGTCATCATTTCCTCATCAGCTGTACTATGTTATTAGAGAAGCCTTCAGATGTGACAGGAATGTTAAAACCAACCACTTAATGAATAAAAACGAACTGCTTCAAACCTCACAGGCGACTGTTTCGTGGCTTCCTCTTGTTCTTTCATGTGTGAGTCATTCACTTCCATCAATCATGTTTGTTTACTGCCTTTGCACACGGCACACTTCATTTGCCTTCTCAGAAATCGCTTCTACATCTAGTTTCCCTTTCCACATAATTTCCTGCGCTCCAATACGTATTTTCTTTCAATGTCTCCAAGATACAACATGTTATGCTTGGTTCATTGAGAAACAATATGTTTTAAGTATATTGACATACATACAATTCATCTATGGTTGATTGAAAACTCCGAAACAGCTTAAAAAATATATTTGTATTCGCTAATTTTGTAATTTGACGGTGTTTGAAGGATTTTTACTAATAATGTCATCAGGGTATTTCTGCTTCTAGTTACAAATGTTCAACAGAAATACTGGTTACACAAAGTGGGGGTGTGGACAAAATAATAAACTCAAATGTTACTTATTTAATTTACTTCCAGTGGTTGCATCCTGGGAAATAAAGGATTGCATGTACAACAAAACATGGGTGTCGGAAGTTTAATCTAATAGGAGCAGGTGCAAACAAGTCATGAATACATATATTAAAAACTGACATGATGTTAAAATATAAAAAATAAATAAGAGAAAATAAAAGCAAGCGTACTCGCGATTGAGAAACACCCTGGGTGTTTCTCAATGTCGAGGACGCTTCCTTGGTAGGACATGTCTTCCGAGTCAGGTCCTTCAGAAGCGAGGCAAGAATCCTTCTTAGCCTCGGAAAATGAAGAATGGTGGAACAGGCTAACAGGTGTGCAGGTGTGCGTCAGGCCCCGCCTTAAATGGAGCGCGATTTCCGCCAAAGATTTTGGAAATTGGTCCGTGCGCAAAGCATTGTGGGTATTTTAAGACCGCGGAGGATACACATGTGCAGCCTCGAAATTTCACGCAACGAAGGACGTCGGCCTCGGTAGAATTCCAAGGAGCCTGGACATTGGAACAGTCCTTCGGCGGGACTCGATGACGGAGCATCCTTGAAATAGTGGCTCTGGAGGAACCTTCCTCGACATTGAGAAACACCCATTGTTTCCTACATCTCAAAATTCCCAAAATCATCAAGGCTTAAGTCGATTCATTATTTTATTCACAAGAATATTGTACCTTCAAAACAAACAATATCTGCACAAAACTGTTAGTATTTAAGTTAATTGGCCAACATTACATCACATATTATTTGACCAATGACATTAGAGACTCCAATTCCTCCTAAAACACAGATAAATACTTTGGAGGCGAGCTCCTCCCCCCATTAAGCACTGAAACAAGATGGCTTCCAGGACTGAAACACAGGAAATGGTGATGACTTGCGTGGTTGTGTCTTTTCAACATATTTTTAAGAAGTACAGTTAATGTAAATGTGAGTATATTAACATTGATATTCAAAATAATGCAAATGCCCACCTTTCTTTACAAAAAAAGAGCTAAGCCAAATGTTAGTGAGGGACAGGGGCGTCGCCTGGACCTGAAAACATTCGGGGCTTAGCCCACAGTGGCGGCGGCACTACAGTGGCATTTTTCACTGCAACACTCCCCACACGCACACACACAGTACACCCGCGACTGTTACAATGAAGGCTCGATAATCAGCTCACGGCATATAGGCAGGGGTAAAGTGGTATTTTTTATGAGTGGGGGGCTCACCTCCTCTAGGGGGGGTCCGGGGGGATGCTCCCCCGGGAAGATTTATTTTTTAAATATTGAAGTTAAATGCATCAATCTGGTGCACTTTGAGAGCAAAATGAAGAGATCTATGGATACCTCTCTCAACACCCATATGAAGCAGAACTGTAAACAGATGTACTTTTTCTTTATGGATATTTTACTAATCATTCCCCTTTTAAACTCTATTCTTGTTTTACTGCCATATAGTATTTCATAACTGTTTTTCCTTTATTCTCTTATTTTTTTTATAACTATAATGATCATATGAAGGTGTGCCGCGGAAATAATCTTTTGAATAATTTGTGACCAAACCGTTTGAGACCCACTGAGATAACTTAGACTAAAGTTAAGTATCTAAACACTCAGAGAGTCCTTTAGCTCACCTGAGTCTCTCAGTCTGAGAGGAGAGGACTCTCCTCCAGCTTCTTGTGGAACAAACAGCTCCTTATGTCCGTTAGCACAGCTAGCTAACCAGATGCTAACAACACGGTCCATGCTGGCACCGGTCCCTCCCTCCCCCTCTCTCCCTCTCTCTCTCTCTCTCTCTCTATCACACTAAATGCGCTATTGCCACACACACACAGAGCTGAGCTTGAATGACACAAGCACACGTTTATTTCCATGCAACTCTCTGATTGGTCTGGTGTCATGCCTCTGTTGCATTCACTGAACACGGGAAATTACAGTGCTGCCGTCCTCTCTTGTGTCATGATGAGGTTCACGTACGTAAAGCACGGTTATTGAGGGAGAATTGTCCGGGGCTACAGAAAAAACATTCGGGGCTAAAGCCCCGGATGCCCAGGCCAGGCGACGCCACTGGTGAGGGAGTTTGTGCTTCCTCACAGAAGTGCAATTAATCCCTGGAAAAACGTTGTAACCACTCGTTCCTTGGATAGGAACATGTTCCTTTTTTTGAGTATACTTTTATTTGTATTATTTTACCTTATCTACACATTTGAAACCATTGCAGCAACATGAAAGCAGGATTTTTCTCCTGAAGTTGCTCAGGGTGGGGCTGGCTGGAATTGACCTAAGCATGTAGGATATTAATAATCGTGTTCAATGTAAAATCTTTATTTGTAAAGTAGAAGCGACCATATGTCTCAGATAAATATAGTGGCGTAAAAAAGTAGCCTATAAAGTTGAAATACAACTTAAAGTAACATGAAGTGAAAATACATGAAGTACCTCCAAACTGTCCTCAATTAGATTAAAAGATT